GGTGGCGGAGAAAGAGGAGTGGTACACGGCCTTCGTGAACATCCCCTACGCGGGGCCGGCGGCCGGCAGCCTGGAGCTGCGCAGCGAGAAGAGCGAGTGCGGGCGCTACGGGGAGCACTCGCCCAAGCAGGATGCCCGGGGCCAGGTGGTGATGACCGTCTCCGCCCACGACCGCCTGGCCTGCGACCCCCACACCCGCTTCGCCGCCCCGGGCCAGGGCAAGAGCTGGGTGGCGCTGATCCCCAAGGGCAACTGCACGTACAGGGATAAGATCCGGCACGCCGCCGCCCAGAACGCCTCGGCCGTGGTCATCTTCAACCTGGGCTCCAGCAACGCCAACGAGACCATCACCATGCCGCATGCAGGTGAGTGGGGGCGCCCGCCTGCTGCCCTCCCGCTGCAAACCCGCGCGTGGAGGCCCCTTTCCCCCCTCGCTGCCAGGGACGGTGTCTGCTGATACCTAGGCGCCCGGCTTGGGGGGCTCCAGCCGGCTTCGCTTGCCCGGGCAGGAGTTGGGTGCTTGGGGGAGACAGCGTCCCCCCAAGGTTTGGGCCAAGCTGGTAGCTGGGGTGGGCTGAGGGAGCCGCTTGGTCAGTTTCTGTATCTGTTATCCTTGCCAGGAGTGAGCTGCAATTGAGTCCCGCCCCCTTCTCCTCTCTCTCTCTCCCTCCCCTCGTTTTTATCGCTTCATTTCTGGACAGAAAGTGTTTTTCTGGGCACCTGTACAGCTCATAAATACTCTTCTGCTTGCTGCCATGGAGAGACATTGACAGGCTGCCAAGACAGATAAACAAGAACATCCAGTTTGGTGGGAAAAGTTGGAAAGCTGTGAAGTTTTGGCCACTTTGTGGATTTTATGGGACCTGTGGTCCCTTTATAGGGCAGTTAAGCAGCTGTAAGCATTTTGTTGGATCATTAAGTTCCGGTAGTCCATGGCAAGCAGGGGCCAAGGAGTGAGATTGAGCTCTGCAAGATGTGAAGGATAACATTGTTTTTTAATTACTAGAAAGCTTAGCAAAGTGGAGAATGCAGCCTCTACTATCATCTTTGCAATTATTTTCATCTGTGGAACTAAACGTTGGAGTATGTGATTTTTATGAGCTACAGATGCAGACATTTGTCTCAAATTGTGGTTTCTCGTCCTTTCCATGTGCGTCTTTGATGTCATAAAATGGGTGTTCAGGACTCAAAGAATTAATCCAGTTGTGCCATAAGAGAGTGAATGTCAATTTAGCCGTCGGAAATAATAGCAAAGCCAGAACAAACATTGGGTTTACTGTATAATGAAAACACTGTTTTTATAAAATTGTTTGTTTTGGCATATTATTTTAAAAATCAGCTCATCAGATTTATTTTTAGGGACAAAGTATTCTGCCAGAAGCTGTTAGTCTCTCATGCCACAAGCCTTGTCATGCAGATTAAAATGCCACCTATTATTGAAATCTCTGGTTTGCATCCAGTAATCATTTCTCTTTCATGCCAGTTGAATCTGTCACATCAGAACATGAATAGGTTATAAAGATTGGATGTTTTAATTACACGTTTTTATTTTGTAATAAGTTAGCCAGGATGGCTAAGAAGTGAAAGGATTCCTCGTATTACTGATAGTGCAGGTATTGGGCAGAACATTTTGAATGTCTTACACTCAAACTCCTATAAAGAGATTAACTGTTTACTGGAGCAAATTCATATATTCATATGCTTTTGAGACGGGGATTGGGTCATAGGAACGCTTTAAAAAAATCTTGATTTTGCTGTTGACTTTTTGTGGCTTAAAAATTAGGAGCTCCTAAGCATTTCAAAACTGTTCTCAATAAACTGAATATCATTTAGCTTCTACTTCTTTAAGTGTTGAAGATTATTTAGCAGGTGACATAATAGGAATTTGGCATATAGAAGTATAAGCACTCTTAAAGTCAAGCTCAGTGTATGTCTACACAATAGAATGCATTATTTGTTCCTGTCTAGTTTTCTTTAAAATTGCCAACATGTTGGATCAATTAATGGCTTTCCTGTTTTTAAAGACTGCGCTAAGCTGTTTTCCTATGCAAATGTTGGTTTATTTGAAAATAGTGGATGCAAAAATCTTTCCCTTTGGATTTTAACTTTACATTGCTAGTCGAAACAAAACAATGTTTATTACTGTTCTTGGCCTTTGTTTTCAGAAAAAGACGAATATTATATTTGTTGACATTGGGACAGATTCTTTAATGTTTCCTGGCACCTTGCAGCTTATTCAGAAACTACTTTTCAAGCACTGAATTGGTTTCCAGTTCCATTAGAAAAGCTTTCTTCACACAGCTGGGTATACCTGGTTAAACTTCAAAAAAGTTCTTGTAGACTGTGATCAGTCAGACCATTGAGCTCCTGCCTAATTGATATGTGAAGATCTAGTGGAAACCCAGGGACTGATTTATCCTGACTCTGCTTCTGGTGTAATGATTTAAAAAAATGTAAAATCATAACTCAGGCCCATATGCAGGAATTTCTGTGTGTGCGCGCACGTGCTTTTTTTCAAATGTGGACTGCAAGGGTTAGAATGCACCCACCCACCCCAAAGCCTCCAAAGTAGGTGGGCTCCTGATCTGGCTGGTTGGGGGAAGGCTGGGGCTGATTTTTCCCTCCCTCTCTCCCCCTGGAGTGAGGCCCAGACCTGCCACCGACCTCGCTCCTGTGTGGGAAGTCAGCCCCAGCCAGCTGGATCGTGGAGGAGGGAGGTTCAGACAGTGCACTGCTCTTGCCTTCCCTGGCCAGAGCATACTTACCCGGGATACCATGGGGAGTGCGTTTGTACCCAAACACCCCCTCTGTATACAGGCCTGTAACTGCTATCAGTTTGACTTGTTAGTATTTTACACTCACTTTGCACTGGTGTCAAGGATGGTACATGATTCAGGGCAAGGTTGAATTGAGTTTTCAGGCCAGTCATATTTGCAGTACATGCTGCACACGCTAAACTCTAGTAGTAGGAAGATGAAAAGATTCCCACATGGAAAAATTTGAAAAGAGATGGTTTTGAAATGCAACTTGGAAGTATTTTAAAAGTGAAAAAACAAACAAACTCTTTTTTGTACTTTATTTATCCTTGTTCTTTTCAGTTTTTATATGGAAAATCAAGTGAATTCTGACTTTCCTTACAGATGTTAGTGTTCACTGCTATAATGTAGAGGTTCCTGTTCCTCACTAACAAGAAAAGGCTTTTAAGAAAAATCTTTATTTTCTTAATGCATTCTTTTCTTGAGAACGTTTTGGTTTCTTTTCCCCATTTGTTTTCTATCCATTTTTCTGACTTCTTGCTTCTTCTTTCTTGCCTTTCGTTCTCTCCCCTTCCCCCATGTCATCTCTATTCTTCATTCCACTGTCCCTTATTTCCCCTTCTTCCAATTCCACATCATTTCCTCTTCTCCCAGCTATTTACCCTATTATTACTCTTTTACTCCCACCCCAAACTTTCTGTCTTCTCTCCCCCTAAACTGCTGACACAACCAATATGTGCTTCCTTTGCATACTGATATATTCTTCCAATCACTAAATGTGCCTGCATTCTCTATTTCAATTCAATATAGTAGTTCCTTCTGATCTTGACTATGAATATTAACCTGCAGGAAGATATCATTCTGGTATGCAGGAGAGATGCTTTGAAACAAAACAGGTATTGAATATGACACCAGAGCCTATTGTGGAGCTATTTCACAAACTCTGGAACTTGTGTCTGAAAGGTTTTTAGTGCCCTTTTGCATTAAAGTAAAAAAAATCTAAAGTTTAGGTTTGCACTGAAGTCAAACTGTATATTGAAATCCTCACTGTCAGAAGGCCTGATCCTGAGCTTCCCATTGACTTCAGTCTTCCCATTGACTTCAGTAGTCTTTGGATCAGACCCCAAGTGAAAACCAGAGGCATGGTGACTTTAATTCCAGTGACATGTGCAGAAAGACTTGCTGTTCACTGTTCTTAAATCTCCTGTTGTGTTTGCAAAGCCATCCTTATGATGGTGCCCTATGCAACCTGCATCCTCCATCCCTACAGGGTCGGGACAGTCACTCCATGGGGTGGGGCTGTGGGAGGTGGTAGGGAAGGAGGGTAAGGAGGCTGGTGGGGAAGCAGACAGACTGAATAGCACAGTCAGCAGGAGCTGCAAGCCAGTAGGCAGAGGGGAGAGTAGCACAGTTGGCTTGAGCTGTGGGCCAGCAGGCAGAGAGGGGATGGTGATGGAGGACTGGGTCTGAAGGGGCTGGGAGGCGGAGCAGGGGGTGGGAGTGCATGGGAATTGGGTCTGCTAGAGCCGGTGCTGCCTATGGCTAGTGGTAGCCCTAGGTATATGCAGCATAGGGTACTACTAAATTTGGAGCATTACTGGGACCCCAAATGTAGTGGTGCCCTACACAGTTGCGTATGCTTAAGGATGACCCTATGAGTTTGATAATTAGAAATTAGGAATAAATTTTGGCTGTTTAGTAAAAGTCTGTATTTATAAAAAGTATATATTTTAGCAAAGTTATCAAGTGTTAATTTTCAAATAAATGTAGAGTTAGTGGAAAGTGCCAGATGGATAGGCCTGGAGAGCGAAGTTTATGTTTAGTAACAGATTTAGTAATACTCATGCAAACCTACTTGATCTTTCATATTTAATATGTTTTAAATATGTTCTAAAATCCCAGATCCACACTTCATAGAGTTTATAAAGGGTTAAACCAAAATGCGAAATTCAAACTATCTTAAACGTGTTCATTCCGAATTTGCACCCAAACATGAACTTCCCCAGATCTGGGAAGTTTTTAGAGTTGACCCATTGACTACAGGTAGAATCTCCCTTGTCCGGCACCCTTAGGACTGGAATGGTCTTGAACCACAGAATTTGCTGGACAAGGGGAGGAAAAGGCTCCCTACTGAACTATAGGCTCTGCTCCCTGTTGCTGCTGACTAGGACCGTGTCCCCCACCATGCCAGCCCTGGACAGGGGCTGGTCCTGCTGCCTCTGGGGCTGAACCCCTACAGCCTGAGCTGCGCACTTAGCTGCCAACCCCTCTGACTCCAGCCCTGGCCAGCGCTGCACTCCCCGCACCATACATGACTGGGGCTGAACTGCACCTCTCCACATCAGCCTCGATCAAGGCTGTGTTTCTCAACATATTTGTGATGTAGTGCCGGTACGTCACTGGTTGCTACGCTTGGGCTGTGGGTGACCCCTACTAGCCTGCGTCTGTAAGTACTGCCCAGTGGGGGGTCGCCTGAGGAACCTCAGGTCACGTAGACAGTGACCCAGCCGATTCGTACCTGTCGAGGGAAGGGGCTGAACAAAGGAAGGGAGTGGTTTGGAGAAGAGTCAGTTTGGCTGGAGCACACGTGGAGAGAAGAGATGAAGCAG